CCTTCCAACCCAAACTATTCTGATTCTATAAGTCTATGAACGGGCTCTTGGTTCATTAAGGGAGGGACCATACTTTCCCATAGGCTTGTCTGGGGCTTAGTTCGACTGTGGACGTGGATGGATCCTATCCTGGTCCTTGTACTTATACAAATACTAGTACTAAAGAACTATAGGCAGTGCCAAGCATAGTGCTACCGTGAAAAGCAGCACACACCTAAAAGAAAAAGAAATATAGGAACCTGATCTCTCCTCCATGCAAGCCAACAGGCAAGGGTGCAGAGGCAGGCAGCTGCAGAGCTGCCCTGGCTTCTAGCTGCTAACAGGATTTAGACTGTTTTAACAATGACCAAATGTTCTTCCAACTCCCACTGCGAATGACCAAGTGAAAGCAAAAGCAACTTGTGAAGCAGCTCCAGCTCTTTCCTCCATTCCCTGACTAGCTGCATGGAGTGTGGGCTGGCTTGTGCAGGCAGCCTGGGGACAGCTCTGCCCCGACGCCTACGCGGGATGACCCAGCAGTTCTCAGTGGGGTTGGCTGGGCTTCAGTTGTGGCTGTCGTTTCCTATTTGGCTGTTAAAATAAAGCTTTCTGCTCTACAGACTTGTCATTGTGGCTTTTGCGTGAATCAGACATAATTTATAGAAGGCTGTCTGGGTCTCTAAGGGGGACAGAGCCAAGGCTACTCTCCACTTTCAGTTCCCGCAGGGGATGGCCAGCATATGTCCGTACAAGCTCATTCCAGGCCATGGCTCTGACTCTTCCCTCTCAAGTGAAATGTCTGGCTGTTTTTAACCATGTGTGCAAAACTAAGGTCCAGTACGGATAAATGAGTTTACCTGAAACACAAATAAGGAGCCCTAGGGCTCCATGCTCAGCTGTCCCACTAGAGGTAGAAGCACTTACTACCCCTGTGAGGACCGTACCCAAGCAGAGTACTTGAGCTAAAACCCATCCCTGGAGTTGGGCAGTCAGTCTCCCTGAAGGTTCAGAGACTAACACAGGGTCCCTGTCTAGCAGAGGAGCAGCCCCCTCCTCTGTTAGCGTTGGCCCTCCACAGCAGTTGGGGAGTTCATTCCAGGGGTGTCCCTGCATTCTTTAGCTGGTCGGATGGCCATCAGCTTCTTGTGCTTCTTGCCAATCAGCTGATGAGCATGATGTCTTCTGTGACTTACTGAATCAGCTGTTTTCCAGCAGCTACAGCTGGAGCTGCTAATACCATCCCCACCCTCCTCTTACCTAAGCCTCAAGCAAATGCTGCCGCTGAGTGCTGTGGCCATCGCGGTTTACTTAAGTAACTTTTGTATTCACCACATCTCTATAAAACTTTGAGATTTTTACTCTCCCAGTACCCATGAGAGAGAGGGGACAATGCTGCCTTTCTTCTGTTACATTCGGAAAAGTTGTGCTCAGAGGTATGAAGTAACTTGGTTGAGGACACATGGATAATTTGCAGAAGAACTGGAAATGGAGCCTTCAGGTTCACAGTGCCCTTACTGTAAATACAACTATGCCCTGTCTTTCTGAGTGAGAAGTAGCTCATTAAGACAGAAGGATAAACCTACACCCACCTTGCTGTGTGAGACCCAAACTGGTCTTGGTTTTCCCAGAGTCCGTGTTCCACCACTCTCCTGGCTGGTCCCTGACTGGTCTGTACCTGGTCTGCTTCTTCCTGAAGCTCTGAGAGCTCAGTTACCTACTTTTACTTGGGTCCAGCTTTTATTTCTGGTTCCTTCATACAGTATGTGTGTGCTTGCTGCAACAGACACTGCCCTGTAGGTTCTGACTGTGCTGCCAAGGATTTAAAGAGGGTACAAGTAAGTAGGCATCTCTTGAAAGTGCCTGTTAACTCCCGAATTTTCTTAAACTATTTGAAAAGCTCCAGACCGATGTGAGGAGATGCTCCCCTGATGTCTCTTCCGCATGTGCGCTTTCAGAAATGAAACCTGTGCATTGGAAAGACCTACCTGGAACAGAGTGTTTGGTCCTTGCAGCCTGGCAGGACTCAGAGGAGCAACAGGACTGAGGCTGCTCCAGAAATGAATGCTAGACAGCAGCGGGCTTGGGGTCAACAATAATCCATTTGGGGTCTGCAAGACAAAAAAACACCCCACGATGCATGCCTCAGGAGTTACAGCTCCATACAGTAGTCACAACTCCTCAAGTCTTACATTTCACCTACTGGCTCTTTTTCCTAGTGAATTCAGACATACAGCATGCCAAGTATACCAGCAGGCAGCAACTGTCCATCCGGCCCTGCATCCTGTCTCCCCAGTGGTCAATACTGGATACCTGCACATTTAATATTCCTTCATATGCAAACCGATTTCATTTCTATTGTTTATTTAAACCACGCTCATGCAACTGTATAAAATACCATGCGTGCCCCAATGTCTGTAAACACAGCCTAGTCTCCTTCAGAATAATTTTTTACCTTTTGAAGGGCAGCAATTGCTTGAACTGACTGCAGCTTTTGAAGCATTAATGCAATTGCGTGTGGAGCCAAAAGAGCCGCTGCCGGCCTTTGAAGTTTACTCTTCTGATGGCGCCTGTTCAAAATGGAAGAAGTTTCAAGAAACTGGCAGTGCACAGGCTGACGCAGCGAGAGGCAGGTGTATGGGTTGGGTGCCCAGAGGGACGGCAGAAAGCACAGCTAATTGTTTGAAAAGAACCAAAATAGCAAGAACTAAGAATCCAATGCTTTTCCCAACTTGGAGGTGGCTCCTTCCAGTGCCATGGTGCACAAGGATTGACAGGAATGCTCTGAGCACTTCTAAAGCACAATTGGAGGGGAGGTAGAGTTAAAGCACATGCAAATCTCCATTCAAAGGAAGAATCACATGAATTATTCTGTACCTAGAGTAACATCTTTCCAAAAGATGTTTCCAAAAAAGAACATGAAAGTGATGTGACAATTTTGAACAAAGTATTTGGCATAATGAGTTAATCTCACCAATAGTCTTGATGCCAATTACCAAAATCAGTCCTATTTAGCAAAGCACTTAATGGAATTTGCAAAGTGCACACTTAGCAAGTAAGTACGTATTTTGCTGTGTAGGACAAGTGCCTCAGTGCTCTGCTGAACTTCAGTTTGTCCGGAGTTTAAAATATGTAAGGAGAAGAGAGAAGATAAGGAGTATCTCCCCCTAGTAACAAGCACGTCATGCATTCTGGTACCTGCTAGCTTCCCACCAGGCCAGAAATATAAACTCCCACATACGGCAATTGCAACCAGGAGTGTCACTTAACAACTGCTTACACCACAGGCCGTCACATCCCGTTGCCAGGACTCTGTGGTAAGCAGGCTCTGAAAGGAAGGTACCACAGGTCATGTGGATTTTCGAGTATGACGGACATATTATTTGCAAAGCAGTGCCTGAGGGATTGGCTGTGGTGTTCGAGGCTCTGTGCAAATGCACAGGAATACAGACCTGCTCTGACGTGCTTGCACTGGAGTTCACAACAGGGTCAAACAATTAGTTTAATACCAGCAGAAGAGATGGGAGAGACAAGGAGCAGCAAACATTAAGGTCCTCCCAGTGATTCTGTCCCAAGGTGTCTGAAAGGCTGTTTAATACAAAGAGCTTGTCTGCTCTTGAAGGAGACGATTTCTCTAAGGAATCTCAAAAGAAGCAGGGTTCATGGAGAAATGCAAAGGGAAAGGACACTGCCATCTCCCTTGTGCTGAAGAAGGTGGATCAGAAACACCAAACCCCGTGGAAGAAACCACAGTTATGTCCCAAGGAGTAATAAACACGTGGTATTGCTGGGAAAGCAACAGGTGTTCATGCAGTGAAACAGCAGGTATGGTGGTCACGGGAGTACCAACGAGGTCAGGGTTTGGATATATTTGGGTAACAACAAAAGGGGCAAAGAGTGGGTGGAGGCCTGGCAAGAAGAAAACTTCTGTCTTGATCCCATCAAGTGACAGCTCTTGTCAAGACATCTGAGAAAAAATACTTGACAAGCAGGCACTTGTGAACGGCTCCTTCACAAACACCCTCTTCCCAGGACCACAGTGCTTTCATGGGGCAGGAAAACAGCATTACCGGTGAGAGCACCTTTCCTGTGTCGCATTACAAGCTGGTGCTCCACGGGCAGGCGGCTATTGACGGAGATTTACGAGACTGACAAAGAACACACCGAATTAGGTCAGGACAAATACTCAGAGATCTACTTATGGAAGAGCCTACTAACCTTAAAACCAAAGATGTAAGCAGCAAGACCCAACAACATTCGACTAAGGACACAGTATTGTGCCAACTGTACTAAGAGCTCCAATGAGCTACGCCTCGGTTCTTTATTTTTTCTCTAAGAAGCTGCAGATATCCAGAACTGAAAATACAGTTCTTGAGAGGATCTTTTGAAAATAATGAAGAAAACTCGGAGCTGTTTATTCCTACCTAGATACAGCCAGAGCAAGTCTTCAGAGAGAGAGGAGATTTGAAAGTGAGCTGTCCTCCATTCATCTCTGGAAGCATGTTAACATCCCTAACAACAGTGCTAAGCAAAAGCTCATGTCCTCTGATGATCAGAGCACTAATGTCTGCAAGTTCTGCCAGAGCCAAGAGCCAGCCAAATCTGTTAATATTTAATGCAAAAAGAGCACAGGGCCTCCCAGGCTTGTTCTCAGTATCGCCATCAGCCAAGCATCAAAACCACCAGAGGAAACGTAAGTGTAAACAACACCACAGCACAGGCTATCCTTAAATTACACACGGAAATTGATGTGTCACTTCATTTTCTGCCCTCATGCAGCTGTACATCTGGTATTAGATGTGGCACCCAGTGGGAAGTTCCTACTTAAAAAACGTCATTATAATCTAAGAAGAGGAACAGTTTAAATAGAAATAATTCATTGTACAGAGAGGATTACGTTAAGCAACGATGCTCATGGCTCCTGACTTCATTGACAAAGAATGCATGTAAGTACAATCTTTCTTGTCACTTCTAGCTGTCAGATAATGGACAAGTGCTGTCACACGTCCATTACTTCCCAGGCCATTAGGCACGTGCTGGAGCCTGGACGGTGTATGTGGATACAATACAGACCATGCCCACGCTGGCTGCAGGCACACTACTTTGTTGGTGAGGAAACAGCATGTTGTAAATGTTACAAATGCTAAAGTAGAGGCCTGAAGAAAAACAATGAGTCAAAATTATATATCCACATTGGCCAAGGGAGAGCCAAAAAATAACAAGCATAAGTAATCTGTTAAAGAAGCAAGTACTGAACAAAATCTAAATATCTCTCTTTAGAGCTAACCAAATAGAAAGCTGACATTTCTCTACCCACGTATGGTACCGTATGCACTGACATCTTCAAACCCATTTTTCTATTCTGAAATTGGTTGTGCATATCACGTGCCCTTTCACAGGGCTCCACCCAAGGATATTCGTCGTGACTGGCAGGTACAATGGAGAGCCATCTGAAATACCCTCTCAGGCAGCAGGACCTTCTCTGAACCTACATCACTCCTGGAGCAGGAACTGGTGTCTGACATCCTGTTCTGCACCTGCCCCATGGCAGCAGGTGTCTACCACTGGTTTCTGATAAATCAGAGATCACTTGAGATATGATGCATGCTCCTCCTAGGATAATGGGATGAACTGCAGATTTCCAGCCTAAATTATGGCTTTAGTTATTTTGCATTGTAGTATTACAGTTACCTGAACACAGTTGTGATATAGTTTTTATTTTATATTCACTAGGTCAAGTATTTAGGATGCAGGGTGCTTCTTATTCACACTAGAAATAGAAGGCTAAAAGAGAGGAAAAAAGCTGTGTTGCTGTATAGCCAAAAGTTTAAATAAATGGACCCAGGAACTACCCTACACGGGTGCCATCTGCCTCTTCTGTGATCGGATAACCTGTAAAAAAAGATTTGTAATGGCATTAAGTTGGATAACAGTCATCACAGCCTTAGCTAGCCATCCTGCTAAAGGAGGGCCACAATCATCCACCTAATTCCCTTCTACGTCTTTCAGGGGCAGTAAGTATACCAGTTTATAGATGAATGAGAAAATTAAATGTTCAAAGAAATAATTAGAAAATGAGGAAAGAAATCTCTGTTCATACGGAGTTTTGGGGCAGCAGTAGATTAAAGCGAACTTGTAATAACTCATGCTGTCATTGTGTCTGGTTGGCGTTTGATATGATTTATTTGTCAGATTTGCTCCCTACAAGCAAAATACTTACTGTGGTTATACCACAGTTAGAGGTTGTAAGAGTCTGTCAACGCACCTCAATTTTGGTTTGCCACACTTCTATTCTTCCTGCCAAACATAACTTCATTTAAAGGCTTTACGATGTCAAAAATGACAGATAATGGCCCACAAAATCCTCTTTCTTTGCGACACAACTTCATATCTCGGTGACTTACAGGTGTGTTTGAACTGCAATGGCTTTGCACGAACTTGTTCTGCAGCCAGCTGAAAAGCTCAATAACAGCAAGTGCTGTGCTGGCCGAGAGCACTTGCCAACACTCTCACCTCTGCCAGGCCTTCGTGCCGTGCAGGCACACAACGCTGCCCGCAGCCAGCTCAAAGACCTCTAACACCTGGCTGCACTGCAGGCATCATCCGTGCAAAACCTCTTCAAACAGGGAAGAGGTAAGGGGATTCTGGATACAGTGTAGAAATAAATGACTAGACAGCCCGAAATAAATCAGAGCTTGTAACACATACCTTTTTATTTATTTATTTACTGTTCAGTTTGTTTCATTCAATGCTAGTATTTGCATCAACTTTTATTTTGGGGCAGGGGGGAGGGTGTTACGGGGTGTTCCCCATTGGGATAATTTTACTCTTGGATTTTTTTGTCTAAATTTGCAATGGTAGCGTAAGACAAAACTCACTGATGAACACACCAGGTCATTATCTACATGATTTTCCTCTTCTTCTCTGAACTGCTAGATTTTTTTCATAGACTTGCTTGAAAATGAGAACTCGCCATTGACATCACCATGAATATGTGATTAAAAAGAACAAGATAACCTACTGGTTATTCAGTAGGTCTGTGCTGAAAGGAAGCTCTGGCAAGTACTCTTGTGGATCTGTAAAACTTTGGAAATCAAAACTGGCTTAAGAGCCTTGTCTTAGAAACCACTTAATTTGCCCCGTATTCAAAAACTAACAAAAAGGCTACACTGTTTGAATGGATACAACATCTAGTAGAGGAATCTAACCAAGCATCCCACAATGCACGTGCTCAAGTCATGACCTACAAAACCCCTGTGTTTTTCTTGTTGGCTTTTTCCTGCTTGTTTTGTAGACTTGGAAGCTGGTTTGAACTGATAAGCGATTCACTCATGTTAACTAACGGCTGCCCATCTCGTTATCCTTCCAGGCAGTCTGTGAACTGTGATGGCTTTTCCCACGCTCACGAAGGAACCCCAGGAGGAACCTACTTTCCACCCTTTGTTCAGACCTCTGCTTCGCTTCCCCTCTTCCCCATGTGTTTCTTTTTCCATCAGATGATGACAGACCCATAGAGCTAACATTCTTGGCCACACAGAGGGAATACCTGATTAAAGCAAGAGTACAGGAGATAGGCAGGTCTTACCTGTGCAGTGAAGAAAGCTGGAGTCAGGGATCCCGAAGGAAGCGCGGGGCTGTTGAGGGCGATGGAACCGATGTCAGTGCTGGAGAGAACCATAGGTGGGGCGGAGATTTCCAAGCCTTTGGGTTTTTTAGCCTTTGGGGGAAGAGATGGAGATTTTGCTTTGGAGCCTGAGGAGAGGTTCAGAGGCTCAAGGGAATCTGAGTCGTGGCAACTGGACTCAAGGAAGAGGCTCCTGTGTTCTGCAGGGAGGGGTGAGGTGGGAGACAGAGACGGTGACCTGGAGGAAGATGATGATGGAGATGAAATGCTGGCACTGTTGGGTAGCATTAAGGAAGATATTTTAGCTGAGACTGATGAGCTGAGAAAAGCAGAGGCAGCTGCTGTTTCGGAAGTGGAAGGCAACGACACCATGGGCCTCATAACTTGTTTGTCTGTTTTGTTTGTCACAAATCTTATAACAGTCCGAACTTCTTCGACTGGTGTGTTTCCTTCTGACTTCTCCTCCACTTTTTCTGTTTTGATTGGCTTGTAAGGATCTGGCTGGTTCTGCAGAGAGTTGATAGTGAAAGAAGAGTACAGGCCAGAGTGGATATATTCATTACGGCTTGTGCTTTTCAGTGCTGACAAGCTGTGCTTGTGCTGATCTCTGCTCTCGGAAGGCATCTTACAGTCGCTGTCCTGCAGCAAAAGACTCTCTCTGCTGATTTCCACAGCATGTGGATCCATTTTTAAAATCTCAGGAAAGGAGACAAACTTGTACACAAATTTTTGTCCGATCACTTTCTTGATGATGTTCTGCAAATGCAAAAGCAGATGCTAGAAAGATCAGCATTTTAGAGGCACCGAGTACAGCAAACGTAAGGGGGTTCACAAGGGTAGGGGGGGCACTGCTCCCTCCTCAAGCTGACCAGGTCATTTCAGTGGGGCTCCTAACGCTGCTCACCCTTGGCTCATTCCCATACCTCTGCTCAGCCAGGGAGATCACCCCCTGCTCCTCATGGTGCCTAACAAAATCATCATTACTAGGTGATAAAGACCTACTGGTGGGCTGTTTTCCTCCCACTTCTTCTGAAGGAAGCTTGGGAATATTTTCTTTCCAGTAAAAACAATTCCGCCGCCTTGCAGATTCGAGCCATGCCACCATTTGTGTTTCACAAAGGCAAACTCCTTCATTTATGCCTCCCAAAATTGACACCGACTACCCTGAGTATGAAATATTCTCAGAATGTCTGCAAGGGACAAAACCACCTCAGCCTCTCCGCTCCAGTCATTTACCCTCTCTTCCTGACCGCTGCAGAAGGATTGACCTAGGCTGACGGTGACTGTCCTTCTTTCAACAGTCGTGAACTATGTCTGTTACAAATGCAGTCACTTGCATGGGTTGGAAAAGTACCTGCGTCCTGCTGTATCCCCTGTGCTATCTCCAGGTAGGCTCAGGATGCTCACTGGTGCAGGCAGAAGGTTTTCATCAGCCTAAACTGGCTATTGAAATTAATTATTGAAAAAAATCCCCAACCTCTCAAAGGTTTGTAGAACTATTTTTTTTTCTTCATATTTGCCATAAGAAAAGTGTCCCCTTTATGGAAAGAACTGATTCCCTTTGAAATTGAAATCTTTCCTGAGGGTCCCATTTCCAGTCCTAGCTCTCTTACTGCAAACCCAGGCATGCTGCCTTCTCTAACACAATGTGCAGTATCCCCAAGGATGTGATGTGAGCTCCTCCACAGAGGCACTTTATGGCACCAGATGCTGGCCTAGCCTAGAAAAAGGACCGGAACATTTACCACCCTAAGCCAAGTGCTGTGGTGGAAGACAAGAAGCAATACTTCCTGACATTTCCATAGTGATTTCTCTCTGCTTGAAGCCCCTGGTGGAGAGTTTGTCTTTAAGTCACCTCTGAAAAACCCTTTCCAAGAAGCTTCCCTTTAGTGCAGCACATGTCTGCTGCACCTCCAGCTGATACTCTGCAAACAGATATTTGCTTTGCTGTACATATGGGAATGTAAATATTTACAATATTCCTAAAAATCCAATTTGTTTTTCATTCTACCACAGATTCTGAGACTAGTAGAGGAACCATTTGTTAATTGATTAAAATGAAAAAAAAAAAAAAAAAAGAAAGAAAAAGGAATAGAAACATCATTCCTATTTACATAGGGACAGTACCTAGTGCTGGGTGTTTGCAGTGCCCGCACTACACCTTTTTTTGTCACAAAAGCAAGGCTCATTTTGGGAAAGAAGAGTCCGCACTTGAGTATCGGAACCTCTTCTGTCTTTCAGCTGAGCTACTGCACTCTGTAATTCATCTATCTGAATGCCCTGGCATTTCATTCAGGCACCTTCTTGAGTACAAAACTAAACCTACAAAGAGCCCTGGAATGTAGCTTTGCTTCACAGGTCAGGAGCTGTGGCACAAATGGAGAAAGTTGTTTCCCAAGTTGATAACAGGGATCTGTAGCAAGGAGGAGAATTAAATTCAGCAAGCTCAAACTAAAGGCACAAAACTGCTCTCTTCTGTGCCGAACCATACACACATCTACCCACCTGGTGGGATCCTGGAATGCCTATTTTTGCCCTCCAAAAGTTCAGGACATATAGTTAGCCCACAGGATCTCAGTCTGCATGAGCTTTAATTCCCATGGCTTTGGGCTTGGCCTAGATTTTTTTTTTTTTGTGCTAATTAGGTGAAATGTTGGATGGACACACTTTTTCTCCACTCTCAGTATCACATTCTTCTTGAAAAAGGCAAAACCTCCAAACTACTCATAAAAAGAAACACAACTGAATTTTGTTTTCTTTTTTTAATATGTATTTTTAAATTTAAAATAATACCTCCCCTCTGCTCCTGGCAGCTTTGAGTTATTGTTACATCAAGCACTGACAACTGAGATCCTACTTGGAAAATGTGACTCCCAGCAGAAAAAGATTAAATGTATCTAAAGGTGGCACTTTTACACTGGTGCAGGCTTGAAACAGGGGAACATTGCTATAAAAAGCAATCTAACAGGCTGGTGAGTTTATACTTCCTCTATTATTATTAAATATAGTTATATTTTAAGAAGGTCTCTAAGTGCGGCTCTTCTGACTCCGTAAGCCTGCAGCAAAGGCTCACTTAACGATGGCTGGAGATGAAAAGGATTCAAGTGCAGATCCCTCAAGCACTTCACAGGCTTCTCTTAAATGTGGAGCCTGAGGAAATCTCCATCAACGTGTAAGAGAAAATAAGGACGCAAATTAATTAAGTGCCTCCAAAATGCCACTGACTTTTCTAAATTTTTTTGACAAAAAATTGAAGTGAAGGTAAAAAGCAGCTTATTTTTACCGTCACCTCAGTGATCTGTCAGAATCATTCCAAGCTGTGAATGATGGTTTAAGCCACAGAAGACAGTGACAGGCATCATGACAAGCAGGAGTTTTCCACCCTCAGTTTGAAAGGGCAAGGAAGGCTTCCTTATATTAAGGACTGCATTTGCAGGGACACTAGACCACTTGCTTGGTAGCAGGACAGTAAGTATCTGTGCACATTTAGCCCTTTTTTTTTTTGCTGCTTGAATTTTCTAGGTAAAATCCCTCGTGAGCAGGCTTGCAATGAGTGCTAGTGGCAGCCGGCCAGGGCTGCAGGGAGCTCCGGGGCTGCGGTGCTGGGGAAGGCGACTGCTGGGCCGGTGCAGCTGCTGGGGAGGAGAACTGGGCAACCAGGCCAGGAGCAGGGGCTCCAGGCCAACAGCTTAAAAAAAAAAAAAAATCTTATCAAGAGACAGCACACACTGACATTTAGAAAGAGGGAGGGAGCTGGGAATGCCCCTCTTCTGTTGGCTTCTTGACTGTTCCTCACTTGAACACTTTACACTTCCCCTACTCTGTCCTCAGTCTATAAAGCAGTGACTACAGCAAACGTGACCACCCCCCATTGCAAAGTGCTTTGAAAGCTGTCGATACAAACTTGGTCCAGCACTGCCTGATGTCTGCTCTAGCACATCAGCCATGTTAGGGAGCTCAGGCTTATCCACACCACATCACTTCAGAAACTCACTTTATGAGCACCTTCAAAACCAGCCTTACGCAAGTGCTCTGAATCACCAGCTGGAGGGATGGGTCTCTCCCCCTGTCCTCCTTCACAGACCAGCTGGCTGAGGTAGATGCCAAAGGCTCAGTGGCCTGGTTCCCCCTGCAGCTTAAACCAGGCTATAACGTGGTTGGGGTTTTTTTGTGTGAACTATGCATATGCACTACTACTTTTGGAAGCCCTCCCAAAATACACAGAAGCTGTTTGCCCATCTCAACAGCACATGACCTTTGGGTTTCTTTCCACTTTTTTCTTTCCTCCCAGAAATTTTCCTGTGCATTGGTGCAATTCAGACTTTGTTGCTTCTATCATGTGTTCATGTTTTATTTTCATCAGCTCTGACTCTTACTCCCTCTTTGAGCCATTTAGAGCTAAGGTGTAACTATACTACTAGTGTGACACAAGGATTTTGGTGGCTTGGCTCAAACCAGTTAGCTAGCAAGTTTGCTGGCTGCAAGAGCCACTCGGCAGACTGAGATGGGAAATGGGACTCAGTTCCTAGTTGAACTTCAGACTAATGAGAGGCCTCAGGGGCAGGAAGACCAGATTGGGACTTTTTTCCTCCTCCCAGGAAGTAACCTGTAATCAGGGTGCCTGAGATCTCAAAATTTATGGCAGAACAGGATGAACTTGTCTGTAGGTACTAATTGTCCCTGCTTGGGGAAGAAGGAGAAGGATCAGAGCAGTAGCTGCTGCACTTAACTGCCATTTGGATGTGTTGCAAGTTCCCTGGCTCCAAGAGTATCGAGGGATGCAACACGTACACTTAGGCTACGAATTCCTCACAGGACTCTATGAGGAGGGAGCCGGGCTGCCTCCAGCTGTTGGGAACCCTACCCAGAGAGAGGGTTGTTCACACTCCAATGTCTGAAGTACGTAAGCTGGCAGAAGGTACCTGTGGCTGCATGGTTTGCTCCAAAAAACAGGGCGCGTGTCCATATCAGCGTGTGCAGGCAGGCAGATTCTGTTAACATCACACTTTATGCACTTACGCTTATTATACTGTGTGTAGAGAAGCTAGATTTTGTGAAATTTTTGATGGAGGCACAGGTGTTACTATATCGTGCACCTGTACTGACCTTTGGAAGCACAAGACTCTCATTTAGCTGGATTTCAGTCTTTCCTCACCCACCTCCATCTGGAAGGCAAAGGCCATTCCCCTGGCTGGCACCTTTGGCCAGGTTCTGTGCTCCCTCTGCTGCAGTTCACTGGGCATCCTTTTCCTCTCACATCACACATGAACTATTTGTCACTCCTTTGGGGGGGGGAGGTTCTTGGGTTTTCTCCTCTACCGATCACCTCCTACTGAGTATCAAATTCTTTACTCCCATCTTTCCATAAGGACAGCACTCAATAACCACTTTTATGCCATTTCAGACAAGCACTTTCTTGACTTCCACTCATCACTCTTGAAAGAAGCTCCTTCCAATTCTCTATGAATCTATTTTCTAATGCTCCTTCAACTATTTCCTTATAACATCTCTTACCTGTACCACTACAAAACGTATAGCTGGTACTCTAGCACCATCATACCGCTATTGTTTCATTGTAATATTCTATTTCCCCTGAGGTAAATCAAGAGAAGACCTTTCCAAAAGTAAAATAATAGTTTCCATTATCACTTTATATCCTGAAGTTCTATAAGCAGACCAACCAAGCGACCCTCTTCCCAAAACAATTCTTCCATGCTGCCACCCATACTTGGGCATTAAAAATAGGAACTAGTAACCAGGCTACTGGGTCTGACCTGTTATGGGAGGGGAGGGAATGCCATGGGCATCTCTGAATCCTAAAAGCACCTGAGAAGCTCTGTCCCCTGCACTGCAACAAGCACAAAGAAGCCCATATTATTTATATACTATACATCATACTGGCAACCCATCTAAACAAGCGGGCAGCCATTAACTGAAACTAAAATGATTTATTCTGTCTTTAGAAGACAGATTGAATAGCACTCACTGAGTAAAGCGCAGGGCCACATACTGTTCAGAGAGGATGCAAAAATATTGAATAGCTGCTCATCGCAACAGTATGTGACTGTAATTAAAGATGCAGCATAACTCATGCAAACATTAAGGTTACCCAGGGAACTGTGATTCTTGCATTTCCTAACTTCTGAGGGCTTGACTTCCACAACTGCTACATCCTAGTAATGTCGGTATCCGCATGTAATTTCCTGGATTTGCCCTGCTTCCCTCAAAAAAAATCCTCATGGGGAAAACTCACTAGCTTCCCCCTTGTGGTGTTCATCTTGAAATATTCATGGGGACCTTTTGTAGTCCTGAAATCTCTAGAGACTTCCAAAAGGTATCTGTCATTATAGCTATCAAAAAAAGAAAGTAACTGGGCAACTTCAACAAAAAGAAACCTACTAATCCTACTTATAAAGGTATTTTAGTTCTACACATCAAGCTAAAGTGCTCTGCGTGGGAATAGATGTGAAGGGTTTCCTTGCCTAAAAGCATTACAAGAGATTTCTGACCGGCAGAAGTGTGTGACATGATGGACATGCTGCTCAAGCTGCAGGTAAAGAGAGTGCAGGATGCCTTCCCTCAGCGCTATCTGTCATCTGTTCTGCTGCTCTGTTGAGGCAACAGGGGAAATGCATTAAATAAAAAAGGGGGAGGGGAATTTGGATTACAAACAAAACAGGAAATGGAAAGTCTTCAGATTATCTACAAACCTTCAGCAACCAGAATCATGGTACCAAATTACAATCAAGACATGCCACACTCTACATTTCCTGGGGTGCTTTATATGTGAATTTAACATAAATCTACCCATCAGCCTCAACGGCACGTCATGCTTGCTTTCAAATCCAGGCTAAGGAACTTTTCCTAATTGTGTTATTTTTCTCCAGTACTGGAATTAATTTACTTTTAAGTTCAGATGAATCAGATGATGAATTTTAACAAGCCAGTGTTCCCCCCAAGCAAAATGGCAGAGCTCATAAACGTCCATTTATCCCGTGATCAGTTTTTATTTCTCCATGGTGAATAATTTCAAAGACAAACCATGAAGCAGTAGCTCAGTTAGTGTCAGCTGTATGCAGTAGCAGCAGAGAAGGCCCATCACATGTGCCACCATAATTTCTAAAAAATCACTGCTCTTTGCTTCAAACTCACATGCTGCCAGATCATCTGGGTTATAGGTAGTGAAGTCCCTGTTGATAATTCCACAACCCAAATGAAGTCTTGTCCAGAGTTCTGCCTCTTGCCTTTCCTGCTGCCACTCCCCAGCCTGTGGCACAGTGTTTATCCCATTTGCTCAGTGTGCATCCCATTTGCCCCAGCACATCCAGCTGCCAACACATGCATGACTGCCAACAGCAAGAGAGGGGACAAGGATCTCAGAAGGCTCCTTAAGTAGCCTCAGGGTCTAGACTGCTCTGCACTCTCCTAATAATCTGCCTTTCTCCACTGCCTGGGATCCAACGGGACACAACACACTATACCCACACAGAGAGTGAGAAGCTCCCACTGTTTTCTGCTAAAGGAGTTACTCCTTCAATTTAAATAGCAATAGCCGTGGGTTTGGTTTGGGGTTCAAATCCTGACCACAACATATGGGGAAGAAAGGGCTTATCCTTTTTTCCATCTAGGAGCTATGACCTCCACTGGGCTGCAGCACTCCGGAAAAAACGGCCAAAATCCTTGTGCCTCACCTAGATAAAATTTGCAGACAGAAGAGAGCACACAGTCCAAGAAAGCAGCTGTAAGAACAGCAAGGAATCACCTCAGCCAGAGTCCTGGTGAAGAAACCGTACAGTCACTCCTCTGGCAGATGCGAGCAGAGACAAAACAGATGACAAAGGTGTGTGTGTGTGTTGCGGGGCAGGGGGCAACTGAAAACAGTACAACGGTAAAAAAAAAGGTTAAGGGACTTAAAGAAGAAAGGGAGCCTCAAGTAAGGAGCCATTATACTCCATTGATTTGAAGAGATCAGAGAGATCTCAAAGGACAAGTGCTATAAATATCTCATCCCTTGTTTTTAAGCAATGTCTGTTCAGCCACTAACTGTATTTGGGCTCTGCCTGGATATGCTGTTCATTCACCAGTAGGCACTCTGTCTCCATTGATCCCAGTCAAGTTTATAATCAGAGAGGTTGGAGTCATATAATGAAGTGAGTTTTCCCATGCTGAGCAGAAGCTTTTTTAGCATGTAGTGAAGGGGAACAGCCGCTGCACTGTCCTCTCTGAATCCTTTTGTGCCTTCTCAGTCAGGCCACCTTTGAAATGCGTTAAGTGGAAGAATCTGACTTCTAGCGGACAAAATACTAAAAACATTTCATTACAGAACTTACAGCTCTAAATCTGAAACTAAAAAATCCTTGCAGGAGAAGGAGTCCTTTCAGATTCCGATGTGAGTAATGAAAAGTCTGATCATCAAATTGTGCACAGTTAATTTACAGTCAACATGGTTTTTGACTGCTGTGCTAGACTGGCTGCATAGCGCCCAGCCCCACTGTGCCCTTCAAGAATTACTGCACTACAAATAATACATGAAAACAGTACTCTGAGCTCAGTTCAGCAACAATATCTAGTTTCCTCTGCCTTGTGCAGGCAGCAAACATGCCATAACTGTGTTGAACATTGGTGTTACTCACTGCATAATCTCATCTCTCTGCCTTTTCTGAAAATCAAAATGAGAACAGACCACTAAGCATGGCTATGAAGTTTTCATTTTTAATATACAAAATCTGTAACAGTCCTTCTTTTTAATATTTAATCTTCAAGAATACAGGAAACAGTAAAACCTACCAATTTAGACATATTATTAAAAAATATCCATTTAAGGGAAACTAATCCTGAAAAGATTTAATATTAATTAGTAAAAACAATATTATGTTCATCCAAAAAAGTCTGGAGAAACAATTTGGAAACTCCTTGAATTTGCTGGAGCCTAAAATTGAGAAAGATGAATATGCAAGATATTTTAGCACCTCCGTATTTGTGTTCTACAATTTTTTACTTCTAGTGTCTTCACACATCTGAGAGATTCCCCTCAAATATCTTTCTGTTACAGCTATCTAATACATATCCTGGTTACTCCCTGTTCTCATTTTTGCATTCTCTGTTGTACTGTTGCCACCTTGCTTCATGCTGAAGAATAAGACCAAGGACTAAATGTCAAAGTGAAGGACGGTTTCACGAGAGTGACAGTGATCTTATGAATTCCCAGTATACCACAGAAATTTTATTTTCAGCGGTGCTAGCTACCAGTAACCTCTACTGACCTCTTCTAGATTGTGGGCGTGCTCCTGATGTCTGAAAATCAGAAGCAAATTGAGTGATCTAAATAATTCCAAATTACTATGTTCAATATGTTACTATTTCAGATTTCAGTTTTAAATAAAGAGGTTGAAAGTGGAACTCTCAACAGCCAAGAGCTCTGCACTAAGTGTATGCCTACTCTATCTGCCTGCAACCAGCTTCTGAGAGCGCACAAATAACCACAGCTTGCCAGCTATAAGGTTGCTGCCTAAACTGTGCTGACTCCTTGGGTCTTATTAGTTCTATCAAATCTCAACACATGTATCCATGAAGGAGGGGCAAAATTCAGTAGGTCCTGCAAGGGCAGAAAAACTGGATGAAGAAACCTCTACCAAAGCCCATGTTCCACTATTTTGACTTGAGATACCCAGAAGATACGTTCCCAAGTGAGAGTAAATTTAACATTCTACAGCAAATACAGTCTTCATCTGAGATGAGCTCGGCATGAGACTATTACCTTGACAAATAGACCCAAACATATCCCTGCTCTGACACTCACCATCTGACCAGCTGCTTTTCCCTCTGTTTGCTACTCTTATTCTGCACTTTCATCCAGTAAGACATCACGTTAGTGCTCTCTGATATATATATTGCTGCTAATTAAATGATAGCAACATATAATCTAGACTACTGTTGAAGCTAACGCAGATTTTGTCCTAAAATGACGTAGTGGAAAATTTTCAAACTCTTAGAAACACTGAGCATTAACAAAGGAATAGTTACAGTGAGATGCTGCTGAGGTAATACTGCACTGTCGTAATTGTAGAAGTGTTTCAGAGTTGTATTTCCACGTAATAAATGAGGACCCAATACAGTTGTAGAAAAGATTTACCAGAAAGCTCAGGCAAGACTAGCTAAAACACTGGCCGATAGGATCTGTGCTCCAAAAGATGTGTCCCATGAAAACTGTGAAAACTCAACCCTGCCCTCTATGCTGTTGGGTTGGTTGTTTGTCTTTTCCTTGTTCTGACATAGGTGATACCTGCTGGTAAAGCTGCCACTCTGCCTGCTGCATCACAGTACCACTGCTTTCTACCACCTCCCTGCATTCCAGAAGATCCTATGCAGGCTGTAATAATCAAACAGTTCTCCGTTATCAACAGTTATTTTATTGTTGTCAAAAGCTACAGAAAATATTGGGTAGCCAAATGAATAAACACATGAAAGCATTAGTCAGTGTAAACCTAGGTCAAAACCTCCCCTCCTCAGGAAATGGGATGTGCAGTGTTTTCTTGCGCATCTTTTAGCTGCCCTCTTACCTCCACTGTGATTGCCTTCAATACTGTTGCCTGTTGTAAAAACTAGTTAGAGGAACTTTTGAATAGCTTCCACATAGAAGTGAAATATTAAACAATAGTGTTTCTATTTTCTTAGTCTGCACGAGAATAACAAAATTTACCTTGTCATAATAGTATCTGAGCGCTCGGCTCAGCTTGTCATAATTCATATTAGTTTTGTTTTTTCTGAGTCCCCACAGCTTAGCCACTTCTTCTGCCTTGAGTAGCTTGAATTCGCCATCATTAGACGTCCAGCAAATCAGGTGCTCATGTTTCTGGTCTAGCAGCAACTGCAAAAGGAACTGCCACAGTGTGATTGCACTCTCCATACCTACAAGGGACAAAGGAGAGCAACAGTGTGAAAAACATTTGGGAGCAGGTGTTCCACCCAATGCTCATTTCAGTAATAAGCTCTGTGTAGGAGTCATCCTACGTAACTGAGCAAAGGAATCTACTATATCAGTTACAACCAAACATCCACAAGACCTACAGGTCTTGCACTCCCATTTCAGTATTTTTTCCACTGCTATTTTCTGAAGGGACACATAAAATAGAGGAAGTATTTAGAAAAGCATTGCCTGCATAGTTCACATGGTACCAGGTCATCTCCAGTTGGTGTCTTCAATTCAATGCATGCAACCACCCTTCAAAGGAACATGGCGGGGGGGGAAAAGGACTTGATGTAACTATACACTGAAATGAGCCGAAAAACTGCTGTTTGCTGTCGTGAGAAGTATACCGAACTTCTTCAGATATGTCACTGTGAAGAAGGGGAGGAAAAGGGCAGACCAGAGCAGTTGCCTTTGGTTAGAGGACCAGAAACCACACACTTTCCCACTCCCACCACACACACCTGCCTTCCCAGTGTCATACGCCTTTGTCTATTTTGTTTCTTCCAGGGCCTGAAATGGCTTTTGCTGCTTCTGTTTCCCAATTCAAGTAGCTCAAAAGATATTATCTATTTTGCAGAAATGCTGAAAGTTCAGTACACTTAAGCTCAGTAAAGTAAGTGATGTTTACCCTGAACCTTTCTCTGACAGGGATCTTTCCTTTCATTATCATACGGACAACTGAGAACTAGGAATATTTTTAACAGTTCCTGAGTCTCACTTTTAAGGTTGTTTGAATATTTTTTCTCTGCTAAAGGTTGTTTGAATATTTTTTTTCTCTGCTAACTGCCTGTGCTACTGAGCCCTCCCAGAATAAACCTTTTTTTCAGGCACTGCAATAGAAGGATAAACTTAAGAATGACTATATTCCAACTCAGCACAGGCTTATACACAACTTAAAACTTGGGAGCGTTACCACTGAAGACAACACATTATTGTAATGAAGATATAGCTAAGATTGACCTTTTAAACTACAGAACTACAAAATGAGATTTTCCCCCACTTTCAACTGCCTTAGCATGTTAACACTGTATCAAATCATTTTTTCTTGGCCTCTTCTGATACTTAATTTGGACATGTTATGTCCAACTAATGCAGATTTAAAGATGCCAGTATTACTGGGTTAACTGACTGCAGTGCTAATGGGGCTAATTATTACCTGACTTACCTTTGTATTTGTAACAACGGCTATTTTTGTCTTTATCTAAACAAACTCACGATTTTTAACTTCCTTGCTCATTTTGTTTCCTAATATATTACCGTTTGTGTCCTAACCGATCACACGGCCAGAATATGCCAGGCTTACCGCCTGGCGTTTCCCTTGGTGCGTTGACCACAAGAGGGCACAAGACTTCCAACTATCTACCGCATGGACGCGTACAGCCGGCGGCTGAGGGAAGGTTTGCCTCCTCAAGTCTGCCCCAGCGCTAAGGAAATCATGTTGCGCAAGTTTCAGTAGTATAAAGGAAAAGGAATTGCATCAGCTTCAGTAGTGTAAAAGCAAGTTAAAGATACTAGAGAATGTTGTCAATAGTTTCACAGAAAAACGGAATTTGGAGCTCTATTTTGGTCCAAACGATTCCTAAGTACGCTGGCCAAACAGGGGTTTGCCGAATTAACAATGGTTTTATTATCCCTGCAAGAGCCTCATTTCTCTAATTAACTGAGAATCCAGTCTGAATGACAAGGACAAAAATATCTATCCCTGACACCCAGCTGTGTAACACAGGAACTACATAGCACCTTCAAGAGACAGCAGAGGCTCCCAGGACTGTTAGGTATCCTTGAAACGGAACTGCCTACATGGATGATTTGGCACTTTCAAAGGTTTGCATTTGCTTCATTGCATTTTTTATCACTTTATACAAGCCCTTTTCCACATAGTGTAAGGCAAGAAAAAATGTATAGCTAGAATTAAATATACCTGAAAGTTATATACTTGCTTTACAGTCTTTAAAAGTTCCTTTAAACTACACTATCTGTGCAAGTATTAACATCCTTAATGGACTATTTATCTATAACATCATAGCTAGTAAAGTATCCCTATTAATCTGGCATCATATATACATACTTTTTAATTAATATTTATAAATTTTGCAACTTACTTCACTGAACATGTGTAGGTATATACAGCCATATTACTTTAAAATAATCTTAGTTTCTGTACAACTTGTATTATACAGCGATACTCTGCATAATTTCAGCTTGTATCATACAAGTCTTCCCAAGAAGAACTCACAAACAGAACTCTTCTTGCTCCAGAAAACTAGAAGTAAGTGATAAATATCTTTCTTCAAAATTGTATTAAAATGTGTACAGCTGTCCCATGCTACAAAGACCTGTCAGTAGAACTTCAGCTGAGGAAATTAAAGATGGAAGAGAGTTATAGAAGCACCAATGCAAACTCCACCATCATGCCATTAGCCAAAACAGTACAGTATTTCAGAGATGCAATTCTCTCATCCAGACCTTAAATTACATCTTCCTTCAGATCATCAGCAATCATGCCTCTTCAGAGAGTTTAGGTGGAACTGAACTCGCAGTGAAGCGCATTTTGCTGCAGTCTCCTCCATCCCCATTCACCTCTGCCCAAGATCACTTACAGGGTAACCTACAGCTAACATTGCACTACACTTTCCATTATGAACCTGTTTTCTGATGCCTATCATTTGTAAAATGTAAACAGTTTTGGATTCCATTTTATCTACTGAGTGTGGGCCTCGTGGTGACTCAGCCATAGGCGTAATGTAGAACGCATGAACAGTGCAAGCCTGGGTGAGAACATCCTACAGGAGTACCCACTCCACATTCTTTGTCCCCTTGACTAAGGAGAGGTGACTTCCATCAGGTCATTATGAAAAAGGTGGCAGTAACCTTTTATAAAGTGGTTCAGTTCTTGGTGATCAGTTCTTCAACCAGCTGAGATACACACGTAATCCCTGGGGGGTGCTTCAGGTGCTGGATCCAGGGCAGATGGCTGTGGTGCAATTAGATTTAGGCAGCTCCTCACCACCCTGCTTGCCTTATCATCAACTCTCCAAGTGCATAGCTCTGAACAAGCTTTATAAAGGACCTGCGCACCTCAGAATTCAGCATCCATGCGCTTAACTGGTACGTGCACAAATCTTCTACTGGATATGACCCAAGTCTGCCCATACAGAAATGAGATTAAAACAGCTCAATACTGCATTGTACTCCAACCCTCCATCTGCCCCGAAGTTCCTATATAAAGTTTCTCATATTGCTTGTATAACAGCTGTACATATGATTCCTACATTAGGCAAATTATGCAAATTACATTTTCAACTGATCATTAATTGTATGGTCCTTTTCTTCTAAGCACCCAACTTGAGGCATTCAGGTCTGAGTTGCACTGAATATCCACAGCTGTAGCTACCTTTAACAGAAGCTTTGTGCTCAGCATATATGGTGATGTAAAATCTTAAATACCTTGAATTCAGTAAACTGGTATTAATCTTTGCATCTCGTTTCCATTCTCTAAAATGTGATTTGCAGGGGAATAGTAAAAATCTAAGATCCTGCAGTGACAGGATTTTTAAACCGATGCAAAGTATTTCATTTCCAATCAGGTCAACAGAAGTATTAAGCTGCCTTTCTCTATGGGCACCATTTTGGGGTTCCACAAAGTATTAACTATCCTCTTGGGAGGACAACGTGGCCACACAGTGTACTAAGCCTTAACTTGTGCCTCATTTGAGTGGTGGAGCAGAAGAATCACATGACAGATGTATTACAAGACATGTAATTTAACCAAAAATGTGCTACCTGTATTAAAAGTTATTATAAATTATGATCGGGAGGAGTCGGAAACCTTCAGAAAACATTGTATTTATGTATTTTCTAATCCTTTTGAATTTTTACTGACTCAAAGAGAATTCAGTGTCTTGCCTTAATTTGACAGAAATGGGTGTTAGGATGTGGTCACTTCCTACAAGGCATATATTTCACATTTCATTCAACTCTTTATTAATATTAAATAGTAATAATAAATATTCCTGTTACTTCTGTGCTCAGTACAGGATTTGAATGCTGGGCAATAAATAATACATGGAACCACATACTGAATTACATACATTAGAAGAAAAATAGTTTTAAAAAATCTCATTTAGATAGTGACATCCATCTATGGTACAGAACGAGACTGGCAACCTATGTAAGAAACATATTCTGTGTCATGGAAAGCCTAATCAAAATTCATATAGACAAAAGAATAATTTTTTTTTTCATCCATTAACTTTAGCACATGTGGTTTTGCCATCTCACCATTTTTAAAATATTTATACAATGCATTTGACAGTCAAAGATATTTTCTAAGCCATGAAACAAAATTTGCTAGGTTGACTTGACCTAAATAGCCGAGTAATTTTACTTTGTGATCAGTTCCACTACCGCTGATGCAAATAATCACTGGCATAGCTAGAAGGAATTATACTTGGAAATGCTGTGTTAGACAGCAAAAGGGTATTTCAGGACCGAGTTTTCTGAAAGTCCATTTCTCAGGCAGCTGTGACAGGTAACCACACTAACACCCTCTGCATCACCAATTTACATTCTTTCAAATGTGTGCTCCCCATACAAAGCCTACCAGCCGCATGATCAGTGTGATACAATGTGATCTCCACACATCAAATTTTAAGTTCAGGACTGATGCAGGAGCAAGGCAACTCAGAATATCTGTGCTGATAATACCGCCCCTATTCATTTCAACCAAATTAAAGGACTAACGGAAATGCCTAAACTTGGAGCAGCAGCAAGGTCACTCTCTCCCTGAAGAGAATAATAGAGAAGGACAGACGTGTCCATGGGGCAAAGCATCCCATCTAAGAGATGATTTTCCTATAAAGGGGGTGCCCAAATTCCTCACTTAGGTGAGGGGCCCAAATGCCAAACACTGGCTCTCCCCTTAGTGTATGGAGACT